CTAGTTATTAAAGTCCTAGATGGCATCTTCTTCCAAAAGAAAGCTATTTCATCTCCACTGAAAATCTGTTGTTTAGTGTAGCCACCTTCATCAATTATGTTACATTTTAGCTAGATCTTCTGGATAACTTGCTGCAGCTTCTGCATCAGTACTTGCTGCTTCACCTTGTACTTTTATGTTATGGAGATAGCTTCTTTCCTTAAACCTCATGAACCAACCTCTGCTAGCTTTACAATTTTCTTCTGCAGCATCCTCACCTCTCTCAGCCATCATGGAATTAAAGAGAGTCAGGGCCTTCCTCTGGATTAGGCTTTGGCTAAATGAACGTTGTGGCTGATTTGGTCTATGCAGACCACTAAAAACTTTTTCTACATCAGCAATAAGGCTGTTTTGCTTTCTTATCATCGGTAAGTTCCCTGGAGTAGCACTTTTAATTTCGTCGAAGAACTTTTCCTTTGCATTCACAACTTGGCTAACTGGTGCAAGAGGCTTAGCTTTCAATATCAGCCTATCTCAGCTTTCAACATGCCTTCCTCACTAAGCTTAATCATTTTCAGAGTTGATTTAAAATGAGAGATGTGCAACTTTTCCTTTCACTTGAACATTTAGAGGTCATAGGGTTATTAATTGGCCTAGTTTCAATTTTTCTGTGTCTAAGGCAATAGGGAGGCATGAAGAGAGCGAGAGAGACAGGGGAATGGCCGGTCAGTGGAGCAGTCACAACACATACTACATCTGTCAATTAAGTTCACCAACTTACATGGGCATGGTGTGTGGCATCCGAAACAATTACCATAATGACATTAAAGATCACTGATCACAGATCAGCATAACAGATATAACAATGAAAAAGTTTTAAATATCATGACAATTACCAAAATGTGACACAGAGACATGAAACAAGCGCATAGTGTTGGAAAAATAGTGCCAACAGCTCAACGCAGAGTTGCCACAAACCTTCAGTTTGCAAAAAATGCAATATCTGTGAAGTGCAATTAAAGCAAAGCCCAATAAAATGATGTGTGCCTAAATTTGGCCACAATATGGATTTCTGGGTAAAGGGGACCCAAATACAACCAGATAAATTAGCAGAGTGAGGAAAATAAATATAACAGATCTAAAGAGATTTCATCTTAAGGCTGAAAAATTAGAATTCTCACTATGATTTTCCCAAGTAGAAACCCAAAGTATAGCCCAGTGTCACAATTATGAATGAAGGACTTGTTCTCTTCTGTGCTAGCAACAGTTTTTAAGAAGCTAAATATAGGCCAGGCACAGTGGCTCACACCTGTAATCCTAGCACTTTGGGAGGCTGAGGCGCGAGGATCACTTGAGATCAGGAGTTCAAGACCAGCCTGACCAAAATAGTAAGACCCCGTCTCTACAAAAAATAGAAATCTTGGCCAGGCATGGTGGCGCACACCTGTAGTCCCAGCTACCGAGGAGGCTGAGGCAGGAAGATCCCTTGAGCCCAGGAGTCTGAGGTTGCAGTGAGCTATGATGATGCTACTGCACTCTAGCCTAGGCAACAGAGCAAGACCCTACCTCCAAAAAATGAAAAAGAAAGAAAAAAAAAAAAAAAAGCAGCAGCTGAATATAACTACTCAGTGGCCAGCACTGCATGATGGAGATATTTGTGGCTGATCTAATCTGAAGTTTCAAGGCAAACAGCTGCAGAAAGGGGCAGGAATACGAGCTAGGGATGATTCTGGGATTATAATTTCATTTAGAACAACCGATAATATCAGGAAGAGGGCGAAGATACCTGGAAAAATAGTCATAAAGGTATACATATCACTTCTTTTGCAGGTCTTAGCAACTACTGGGACATAACACTTAACCTGGGCTTTATAAAAGTCCCCCTCCCTCTTTCCAAAGGGATGGTGAACATGAAAATGTGAATTTTCCTTATGCTTATTTGCCATCGGCATTCTAGTAGGTGGTCTGGGCTTGAAAGGAAGCAGACAGACAGCAATGTCACTGGCAGCCACACCTTTACCCTGCTTACGAAAATCTTTATACAAAGACAGCTGCTGAAGGCTTCAGGAGAGACCTGCTAACAGCAGGTTTCTGGATGTCCTGTTTGTGCATTTTGATAAACACAGGGATCCTGCAGTCTCAATCCTCACTGCAGACAGAGATGAATGGCAGGAGATGCCTGCCTGGGAAGGTGGTCATTAATCCAGACCAAAAAGAACAGAAAATTTAACCTGATGCCAACCAGTCATCTTCCCTAGAGATAGATCTTGATGATCTTCCACAGCAAGCTTGTGGGAGGGCTCAAAAATGGTTGTGCATCATTTTTAAAGGTTTTTAAATCTGCAGGACAATAATAGTCAGACACTAAATATGCTTGTTCCTGTTCTCTAATCTTAGACATATCTGATATGGTCAAGTGGAAGGGAACCAAAAAAGACAGATTCTGAGTAATGGCTCCCTGGTTTTCCAGAGACTCTATACACCAGAATGTATAACAAATAGGAGAGGGAAGAGGTCAAAGTGAGGTAGCAAAGGCAGGAGTATGATGTGTTGTGAAGGTGCGGAAACCTAATAAAAGAACAATCACTCTTAATGGTACCCTAACTGTTAGGATTTCAGGCCATATCTACCTTACCTCTCTGTATCTGAAAAAACTATAAATTATGACTATACAAGCCTCTAACTTTCGTTCTAGTTATCAAGGCTAAGAGAAAGGATTGATGTAGAGAAATTAAAATGGGCTGGTATGTTCCTTATTCCTAACTCTCTTCCTCCTTAGAGCACCTGGAGATTAAGAGCAGCACTCAGGGTACAGTGTGGCGAAGAGCGCAGGGAAGAAGACAAAGAAAGAATGAACAGAAAGTAAATCAGCATCAACCAGCCAGCAATATCCTTCACTAGAAGACCTGGACTACTAACGCTGAAGTGACTAATCCACAGCTGCTATTAAAAACAAGATTCTGGTCTACATCAGCCCCAAAAGAAAAGCAAACACCCAGAGCAGGGACTCTCAGAGGGGCATTAGAGAAATTGGCCCATTGTTACTAACCAGGGAGGATTAGACCCCTAGGAAAAAACAATGGTAATCAGCTCATGGAAGGTGAAGAAGGAAATGTAAATTCAGGTCGTGCTGAAGCCAGGGGGTTGGGGTGAAAGCACAGGTGGGCTGGGGGAGCATAAGGAGGAGGCAGTCTGACACAGGAAAATTGAGGGGGAAGGAAGGGGAGAGGAGGAGGTGGTAGCAGAAGACAGGGAAGGTAAGATTGAGAACAGAACATTTTAAACTAACCCAGAACTCCGTTGTGAAGGACAAGTCACGAGGCAAGATACAGCTCAAAGGCATGAGCCCCACATTTCACTACTGCAAAGAGGCAACACAGACTTCAAGCGTGCATGGAGAGAGGACTAGGCAATCAATCCACAGCACTGACTTCCAGGGCTCCCTGGCATTACTGAGTGAAAGCCACCCAGGCTTTTCAGCAGCACTAAGTGCCAGCTGCCTCAGCATGTTATGTTTAAACTGCTTCCCCGAATAGATCCTGGTCCTGGAAAAGTCATAATATCTACAGGCGAACATATTTCACCACAAGTGTCTATCTGGCTAAGTGAATGGAGACACTCTGTTCCCTGCACTGTTGTTATATGCATCACCTCACCCTAGAGTAGACAGAAGGGAGAGGACGCATGCTGAGAGTCAGAAAGTAGCTCTGCTCTTCTCCCACAGTAGACAAACAGGGACAGTGACCCCTGCTCCATTTGCCACATGACAGCTGCTTCAGGCCATCCCTGCATTTCTTTCCCATTTACATGTTTCTCAGACAAATAAACCTCCCACTTGGTGTTCCCTTTGCTTCCAAGAATGCAAATGCTAGTACGTTTAACGATAGCATCAGGAAGGCAAATTGGTACAAAGATTGTTCCCACTTTCTTTGTCCTTTCTGGCAAAGAGGTTTCTTAAACATAAAGCTCTGTTGCAAGATGACTCATAGGTAACTATCCATTCAGTTAAGGAAGAGGAAGAAGGTTGAGCGGGAGGCAAGAACTCCTAAGACCCCAGACCTGGCCAGGCTACGTCAGAATAGAAGAGGGGTAGGGGGAGAAATGACTGACGGGCTGTCCTATTTCAATAAAGCCAGCAAAAAAGGAAAGGAGGAAAAAAAAAAAATACTTCCTTCTCTCTCTCTCTCGGTTTGCATGTTTGAGAATACCAAAATATAGGAAGCAAAATAAGACCCAAATGTCCAATTTGATACGAGCCAGGAAAGCTCAGTTTCAAGATGGAAAGAAACACAATGACCGGCTAGAAAGGCAGGAGCAGCAGTCAAGAGAGCAGCAGTCAAGAGAAAGCGACACCCAGCAGGAAGGCTGGCTGGCAGGTATCCTGGAGCCTGGGGATATCTGGCTCCTTTAGCTCACCACCCCCACCACCAACCACTCAAAAAGACCAAAAGCAGCAAGGAATCACCTCTCAACACACCACATTAATTTGACAGGCAACTTTCACAGGATCCTGGATGGGGCATAGGAGGGAAGAGACTTTTAGAAAATTTAGGCAAGGAAGTAGGACCTCCAAGAATCAGTTTTGATCACGGCACTAAGAAAATCCTTTTAGGGAAATCTGAGTATTTTAAAATAAAGAATACATCCCACATCTACTCTGCTTAAGAGAAAAAAACAGCAACCCTCCTGCCTCTCCATGTTGTGAAGACAATCCATGAGAAGCATTTCCGTAGTCACTCTACGCGCAAAAGGGAAATATAAATGCTGCCTGAAGAACAGCAACCACCTCTCTGCTTCTGGCCTGGGGCCAATAGGCTGCCTCTGCCCATAGGCTGTGGCGAATCAGCAATGCAACTACCAGAAGTAGAAGTGCTCTGGGCGAGTCAACCCTCAGTCCCTCACCCTCATCCTGTTACTCATAAATAGTAATTTAGGGGTTGGAAGAAAGAGTAGCCACCATTGCTGCTCAGACCGTAGCCAACTGGAGGAGAGGGAAGAAAGCAAGCTGAGTGTGTACTTACTCAAAGTCCTCAAATTCCAAGTCGGTTCCCTCTACTGATGGACCCTGGTTCTCTGAGGAAGAGGAGGAGGTGGAAGAACGCAGACGGTTCTGTTGGTAGCGCATAGAGCGCTGGCGAATACTGTCTCTCCGTGAGAGATACTGGATCATCCTCTGGGCGTAGTATGCAGCAGGAGATAATCTGAGAGAGACAGAGATGGACAAACACAAACTAGCACTAATGTGGGGAATACTATGAAAGACAGTAAATCCAGCTCTCCTATGGCATCTGCCTGCTGAGAAGAACTCTGGAGACAAAAAATAAAAGGCATTTAACTCACCAGGAGGTTTGTACTGCAGAATATACTTATCAGACTATCACCAATGTTTCTGTTTGTGATAAGGCAAATAGGCAGTTTAATCAGTCATATTCTGACGAAGAGCTCCCCCTTCCCAAGAGGATAATACTGGACCTGTCTTTCTAGCTTCTTAAGGGATCCCTTTTAGCCTCTCAGAGTGTACTTTAAACAGAATCTCGGCTTTTCCTTGATCACCATCCACATACAAAATGTAAGAAATGAAAGGGACCTTAGTAATCATCTACATTTTCATTTTATAGATGAGAAAACAGGCCAGGAGATGGTAAGCATTAGATAATTCAAGAAGGCACCCACAGGTATCTGCACCAGGACTTCTTTTTTCTCCAACAAGTATACATAGCTCCAGATTGTCCTACCTCCTTAAAATGATCTCTTGGAACCTCTTATCTCTCCCTTATGGATTAATGATAGGTATTTATAACATGAAAAAAATATTCAGGACAGAAACTGAGAGTAAAATATCCTTGGGAAAACAGAATATCTAACAGAGAAAAAGATTTTCTATATCTTACAATCAGCATCAGCGGCTACACGGGCACTGAGCAATACAGAAGGTAATAGTTGTTCAATTTTCTTCTCCCTTACTATAGCTAATCCACTAAATGAGTAGCCCAGATCTATATTCTTCAAATTATGGCTTAAGTATCCCGAGACTCAATGAAAACTTCTAGGGTCCCATACAATTCCCCACATTCCCTTCTTTCTCAAGTTTTTCCTCCATTTCTCACAACACTGTTATGTAATTTGAGGCTATGAACTGAAAACATGAGAGAGGAACAATAAAAGAAGAATGTTTTATATGATAATATTGAATGGATTGCTAAGAAATTTCAGACTTAAAATCTGCCTGAGGCACACATTTTGACTCAATAATTCCACTAGGAACTTAATCCTAAAGAAACAAAACACAAGGATACAAAGATACATAAGTTCATTTGCAACATGGTCAACACTAGTGAAAAACTGAGAAACAACTCAAATGCCCAGCAAAGGATTAAATAAACTATAGCCATACAGAGAAACACTATGTAGCAATTAAAAAGAATAAATTACCCAAATATACTCACAGGGAAAACCCTTAAAAATAAAATTTTAAGTGGGGAAAATTTTGAAGAATGGCCTATATATACAAAAATATATTTCTGTGATTAAGAGAAAAACCAAAAGGAGACACAGCAATCCTAATGAGGATTTCTGGGGACTTTTATATTTTATATACTTCTGTAACATTTGAATATAAAAAGAAAAAGCATATATCCCCTGGGATTTTTTTAATGGAAATCTGAAAACTCTGAGAATGGAAACAAATAGTTATATCCAAAGGGTATAAAAAGTTATTTGCAAACATCTTACAAAGAGGTCCTCTGACACAGGCCAAAGGAGATCCTGCAGTCAACTGCTATAGGAACTGAGGCTGCCTTTGAAATGCCTGTCATCAGAGGTGGTGTCCTACCAGCCAACCAGCAAATGGAATTCCCAAGCAGGCCAGCTAACAATCGTTGGAATTCAAATGTCTGTGTTACGAAATAATATACTGCACTGAACACTGCCGGATCCAAATTAGCTTTGCGTGTAGCAAGTGGGCATGGTATGCATAGATGCCTTGACCAAGATAATCAGAGTACAGAACTATTTCCTAAAGCCTCACTGGTGGAACTTTCATTATTCTTTTGGACCTCTGTTCCCAAGTATTTTGCAAGGATGAATCACAGAATCCTAAATTTTCAACAAACAGAAGTCAATGCTCGAGTTGTTCTTATATCTACTAAAAATACAGAAATCTTCCAGCAGAAACCAAGCACTGTTAGCTAAATTCTCAAGTCAATCAGACTAGAAAAGGATGTAACAGGAGAAAAGTTTCAAGAGGAGAAAGATCCTTTTTTTGGAACTGATTCTGAAAAATGACCATAAGTACACTCATTGCTCAGTTTATAGCTTACCCTAACTAATGGAATCATTATAAGATTACTGGTGATAGAGGTAGAAATAATGTTGATGCTGATGATAATAAAGATTGGCCCTTTATGTAGGGACAAAATTTCAGCACTAGGTAACCCTAGTTGTTTAATTTCACAATAGGACAGGAATTCCCTAAGCTATGAAACTATAGATCAGTGGTAAAAAAAAAAAAAAAAAAAAAAAGGACTCCTGACACAATTTTTAAATACAAGTACATCCTAGCCATGTCTTTTTAGGTTTCCAGAGGGAAGCTAAGGATCTAAATGCTGAGATATCTCACCAAGGCTTTGACCTATACATATTGTATAGGGTGAAGCCTAAGAGGAAAAAGAAATCAAACAACCAGTAATGAGTTAGTAACAATCATTCCCCTATGAAGACCTGTAAAATTATCAAACAACCCTAAAGTGTGCAAAGTGAAAATTTTAAATGTTTAAATAAATCCTTAAGTTTTCTTCAAGGAAGAACACTTTCTTCGCCAAAAAACCTACTTTGTGTTCAAAAGGAAAATGTAAAAATACCAATACCACAAAGTATGATACTTTCTGTCATAAAGAGATTAGAGCAAGAACAAATAACAGATTTATTACATGAAAAGAGGGCAAATAATTATCTTTAATAATTCTGTTGAACTTTGCAAGGTTAAAAATTATGGGGATTGAGAGTCCCATTGGAGACTCCTACTGCTGTCCTAAAAGAAACTGTTTTATAGCAAGAACTCTCTATCTTACTGCTTTAAAATATTTGATTCATATGAAAAACGTCTTTCCTTATATTTAGGGCTTAAAGCTTTGAAACACAGAGACTAATATAAACTTCCTTGCTTCAGTCATCGTCTAAGTTGCCTACCTGTTTTAAAGTCATCAATCCCTATGTTCTCTAATGCTTAAACTTGTCATTTCTCAGGTATGGAAAAAGAATTAAGAGGATAATGGAGAGTCTTTTCACTTTTATCTCAGAAAGAATCCTCAGTGTCATGATATAACTGTGGTAACAACGAAATCATTTAATATTCCTTCAATCAACTTGGTCTAAAGGTTTTTCCAGGTGGACTTGAAATCTGTAACCTAGAGCAAAGCTCATTTAGCTAACTGACCTGTACGGCCAACCTGCCAACTCCACCATTATAAATTACCTTTTTCTTTTGGCAAAGCCTCACAATGTGCTCTGGGATTGCTTAAATAATGTGCAGGTTATGCCTTTTCTGATCACTACCAGATTTGGTAAGCTCAGTTTTGATAGCCCCAAGTGGCTGCTCTCTACAGATAAATGTTACACATCAACATCCCATCTATCCTAGGTCCTCAGTTACCAGCATCAGGTAAGGAGGACCTTGAATTCATCTGGGTGTTTTTTTTTTTTTTTTTTATTTCTTCAAGAACTTATCAACTATCTTCTAGGCGTAAAGCAAGCACTGAATAAAATGCCAACCAGTTTTATACAGTTACTCTTTCTTCAGTCATCTTTTCCTTCAGGTAGTCTCCAATATTTCAATATCTGAAGGAGATAGACTGCTGCCCTTTGACATTTTAAATTCCTTCTCAAATGATAACAAATAGGATTTTTGTTTGTTTAATTTGTAAGTAATTCCCTACAAATAAAAAAAACTTTTGTTCCCCATTGGCTGTCCATCTGAAGGGCACTGGCCTCCATGGCCAGCAGAAAAAGAATTTCCTATGACTCTGCCTGTGGCCTCCTCAGGTTCCTCCTCTAGTACCCTGCTTGCAGAAATGAGCCCCAAAGGACAAGAGCTCGGTCAGAACCCTCTGTCATCAGAGGTACTGTTCACTTACCTGCAATACTTCCCAATCACCTGAACCACCTGTCTCAAAACTGTAACTGAAGAATAAAAGAGCACCAGGACCAGAGAGGCACAGAACGGAGCTTCCAACAGCTTGGCAACGCCAAGGGCCGCCCCTCCCCCCACCTAGTGCCATTTCTCACTTTGGCCTTACCTCGCTGGGTCTGGGTAAATTGGGTGCTCTCTGGATCCTGCTCCATCATAACGGGATAATGAAATGAGGGAAGACTCCAGCAGCCTCCTAGCAGAGATTAAAAAAATGGCAATAATCCCTGTCAATTACCAACTCAGAGGTCATTCATAAGGAAAAATGGGGGAGGGATAAATAACATCCCCCTTTGCAGTAAGCTAACACCTGTTATCTGGATCACACCCTTCCTATAAGCTAAGTTTGTAGAGACAAATAAATGAGGAGCTACAGAGCTCCCACACTAGATATGGCCACTGTGGTATGCTGAATATTGCTCTTCAGGAAGAAATGAACAAGTGCTTGAAAGACATGATCTTATTTCTATTTGCAGCACCTCCAATAGACAAATAGGAGGTTGAGATCAACACAGGAGGGAAAACTTAGGCACACACAAAGATCATCACATAGTGCCAACATTTATTTATCTTGGCATTCAGTTTCTCCATGCCATCATAATCCATCATCCACCTATCTTCTTTCTACTCATTCTGCCCTGTCCACACCCTTTTTGTAAGAAACAGTGCTCCTCAGATGTACAACTATGATATATCAACTTTTAAAAATACACATACAGGCCGGGTGCAGTGGCTCACGCCTGTAATCCTAGCTCTCTGGGAGGCCAAGGCGGGTGGATTGTTTGAGCTCAGGAGTTCGAAACCAGCCTGAGCAAGAGTGAGATCCCATCTCTACTAAAATTAGAAAGAAATTAATTGGACAATTAAAAATACATAGAAAAAATTAGCCGGGCATGGTGGCACATGCCAGTAGTCCCAGCTACTCAGGAGGCTGAGGCAGGAGGATCGCTTGAGCCCAGGAGTTTGAGGTTGCTGTGAGCTAGGATGACGCCACGGCACTCTAGCCCGGGCAACACA